TTTCCCGCCGAAATTGCCGTTCATTGCTTTCTGCCATTTCGAACAAGTACTACATTTAAAAAACACACTAACCTTTGTCACTGCCTTGCATTGCTGCTATCATCAATTTGGATGGAACAGCGCGGATATACAGACTCGCAGCGCTGACTAACAACTCAGTGGTACATTTCTTCTTCCTCAAATCGTCATCATCTTCTCCTTCGTCGTTAATGAGAACATTTAAAATTTTTAAGCACAAGAAACCAAATAGCCAATAAACATTAATAAGTAAATAATAAATAAATAAATGACAGCTAAAAATAAATAAAACTAAGAAAATAAAAAAATAAAAATAATTTTTTAGAAAATAAATTACAATTAAAAAAATTAAACTTAAAAAATTATTTCTTTTAACTTTCTAGGCTTTATTTTTTTAGTTGTCATTTATTTATTATTTATTAATTACTGTTTATTGGCTATTTGGTTTCTGGTGTTTAAAAATTTAAAATGTTCTCATTACCGGCGAAGGAGGAGAAGATGACGATATGAGGAAGAAGAAATTTATCACTGAGTTGTTAATCAGCGCTGCGAGTCTGTGTCCTTCTTGTGTGCCTGTGAGTGTGACTGTATCCGCGCTATTCCATCCAAGCATGAATTACCAACTATGAATTATCAAGCCATCATCAACCTCGACGCTACTTCTGTTTTTGTCCTGGCTTGGCTTAGCTTGCTTGAGTCTTTCGGATGGGTGGATAAATGCCATAAAGGTACACCTTGTAGTAGGCGGTAGCTTGCGCCACCTAGATTGAATGTTGCCAATGGAGCTGAATTCCGAAATACTGAGCAAATACAAAACAAATAATAATTGTAGTGCGTCCTAGTTTTATTAAAGAATTGTTTGATGAAAACTATAGTTAAAAGATGTCCTAAACTTACGCAACTACATGTAATAATTTGTATGTGAAATTTAGTTGAGCAGTGAACGTGAACTTTGTGTACTACCGCCATTTCATTCATTTATTTTTTTTAAAACGTAATCATATTGAGGACGTATATATTACCTCTAACTTTGTATCCTTCGTCCTCAATAAGTCCTCGGAAGGACGTTTCTAGGATGATCCAGCGGTTGACGTTCTCAGGATGTCCTGAGAACGTCTTGAAAACCGTGAGGACGTTTGTACCTTTTGAGGACGTCCTGAGGATGTCGGGTGTTGTCTGGGGAGTCTTGGTCGTAAGCAGAAAACAGCTTCTGACCATGGAGCCATTTTCAGCGCTTGTACGTACGGTGCGTGTTTCGCTGGCTTTTAGAATCGACGAAAAGGTACGTGCTGAACTGTGAAGATCTAAAACCCCTCGGTGTGTTTGCGCCTGTTTGCAAGTAGCGTCAGGTGCGCCAGTGCACGAGGCGAGTGGCTCGATTGGCCTTTGGAAGCAAATGGCGGCGCGGCACGTAAAGGTGTATCCACACGACGGACCAAATTGCTCTTTTGGTCCGCGGGCCGCGCATCACGTGATCTTACGTCACCGGTTTTCGAGGTCCGCCGGTGGTCCGCGGCCCGCGCTTCTGAGAAATGCCAAGCGACTTTTCTCGTCCGGACCTTGGCGGAGGACCGCGGCGTTTTTAGTATAATTGAAACGCTAAGTCTGGCAACAAGCTGACTTTTATTGTTTGGATTGGAATCCAAATCCAAAGTCGTGTTCTTTTGGCGCCAACTGTTGAAGACGAAGAAGACGAACCTTTTGTTTTGCGACGATGCAACTTTTCACTTCATCGCGCTCGTGGAGCAATTCCCCGCTCTGCGGGACAATAGTCGCGACGACTACTCATATAATCATCTAAAGATGTCCCCATGCCTTTTTCGCTTCACTTAAGTCCTCCTCGTCCTCAATAGTCAACGCCAGGGCCACCGCGGCCAAACGTCTCTTTCGTTCTTTCGTTCAACCTCCATCTTGGCTCCTTATAAATAGCCTCAAGGCAGCTCGCTGCATGCGTTTGGCGGAGCTGTGAGGTCGAGGGTTAGACCGGCCCGTTCGCTCTGTCGTCTGCTCTTTTGGTCCGCTGTGTGGATGCTCATTGCAGCCGGGCGGCCCGCGGGCCGTGCATCACGTGATCAATCGGTCCGCGGCCCGGTCCGTCGTGTGGATACACCTTTAATGAGCGGCCCTTGGAAGCGAAAATAGCATGCGCTTCTGGCACGTGCCTTGCGCGTTTGCACAACAATGGTTAGCGGTACGTGTGAAAAACGCCTTTATCAAGGGACTTTATGAAGATCGCATGCTGAGCAGTGTGATCTCTACAACCGAGCATTTTGTAAACAAAAAGCTTCTGGCCGGTGCAATCCTCAGCGTTCGTGCTTAGGGCGCCAGTATTTTGCTCACTTTTCGAAACGACGAAAAAACATAGCAATATGATTATAATGCAATTAAACGCAAATGGACAAACGAGCTTGACAAGAATGACGAAAATAATCCCTGCAGAAGAGGAACAAGAGGGACAAAGGACAAACACAAAACTCCAAACACAGCTAGGTGACTGGTGCGCGACCGATTTCGTAAACATAGAAACGGTGCATAAGCATCTTTCAGCATCTGCTCACCAACGCTAATAAAGCGTCTCTCTCTCTCTCTCTCTCTCTCTCTATATATATATATATATATATATATATACAGGGTGTCTCAGAAAACGCAGCCCTAATCTCCCGCGCAAACTAAGCATGGCACATAAAAAGGGTTGATGCCGTGTTGGTGTCTGCCCAACAGCCTATTTAGAATAAATGAGAACGCTTTTGAAGAAAATTATTTTTGTTTTCTAGAAAGTAAATTTTTTTTTGTTAATATTAAGGCCATAGTTTCAATAAGAAACAGACTGGGCATCAACAATAACCCCTATACCAACCCTTTTTAGACAAGTATAACGCATGCCGAACATTTTACCATGTTTTGAAACAACCTTCATTTCTGACGCGTGCTCTGGTTTCGGTTTAGAATTTTCTTTTCCGCATTCCCAACATAAAGCGCGAGACACATGCGCGAAAAATCCATCCGATCCGACGTCCGATCCGGCAATACGACTGCCTGATCCGAAAAATTTGGTCGCTTCAGACGTCGGATCGGCGATCCGACGTGCGTCCAACGCGCCAGATAGTTTCGCACGGCGGACGGATTGTCGGATGCGTCCAGCCAATGACAGCACAGCTAGCGCGAACGTCATGATGATGTACTGGGTCTGGCGGGACGAATAAGAAAACGGGACGGGCGACGGGAAGCCGGACGCGTGGAGATCCCGCTGACCCATTCGAAATAGATGGCCCGGCAGAGAATGCACGCGCCAGCGAGAACGAGCTCTTAACTTCGCTCGTGCAAGCTAAACCGTCAATCTGGGACCAGAGATCTATGAACGCGAACCTCCGCTGGAGTGCTTGGATCTCCTGGGCGGAGCCGAACGGATTGTCGTGTCGCATGCAAGGTCGGAAGCGCGTGTCTCAAACTGTCGCGTGCGGCGATTCGGAGTGGCGTTCGGACTGTCGGATCGGACGTCGGATCGGACGATTCTGCCGTCTATGTGTCTCGCGCTTAACCCTTGATTCCACCATGAAGACGTAAATCTAAGAACTCTAGGGCTCTTCTTATCCAAGCGCATCTCGGCGGCAGCTGTCCTGCCCTCCCCCCGACTGCCAAAGGGCAGAACCTTATCGCAGCGTGGCTTTTTACTCCCCTGGCCCCACGTGCGCGGTACGCTTCAATGTTTTTTTCAAGAGAGGTAAAAGAGGCGGGCGGGAGAGACTGGCGAGTTGTCTGGATTCGGTTCCGCGCTTCGGCCGTCGGAGGGCAGGAGAGCTGCCGCCAAGATGCGCCTGGCTAAGAAGCCGAAACCAGAGTACGCGTCAGAATTGAAGGGTTTTAAAAACATGGTATAATGCTCGGCATGCTTCATACTTGTCTAAAAAGAGTTGATATAGGGGCTATAGACGATGCCTAGTAAGTTTCTGATTGAAACTGTGGTCTTAAAATGAACGAATAAGAAGTTACTTCCTAAAAAGAATTGAAAGACGTTTACAAATCTTTGAAATCTGGAAGTGGAGTGGAGCTCTTGAGGAGGAGGAGGGGAAAGTATGGAAAGGGGGGTATGCCCCTCCTCCCCCATCTGAAGCCCCCCCCCCCCCCCCCCCCCTATCCTACTCTCCTGGTCCCCTCAATCTAGCGGAAACGTTTTGCTACATTTCCCGCTAAATCTAGCGAAAAGTTCCCCGCTAAATTTAGGGGGGGAATTTTTCCAGTAAATTTAGCGGCGAATTTTTTCCCCTAAATTTAGCGGAGAAATTTCAGGCTAAACGTAGCGGTAATATTTCCCCGTAAAATTTAACGGGAAACTTTTTACTTAATTGACGTATAACGTCCCGTGTGACGTCACACGTGACGTCACGTAACATAAAAAAGTACACAAGTCTGTTTCATTGTAAAGTGATGTCGTGAGTTTAGCAATACGACGAACTGTCCGACGCCACGCCGTGGTCACTCTTGCTACACTACGTGAGTAGAAGTGACAGGATCGCGCTCGATGCGCCACCGCCGCGGTGTTGCACGACAAACATTTTCTAGGAGACGTGCTTGGCGCCACCATGTTGTGGCTGAGTTCGGGCACAAATCGACCAGCAGTTCAAAGTCCAAGTCCGACTGAGACTGCTGTAGGCGAAAAGTCATCATTTTGATAGGGCCCAATCGTTACGTCAGCCCTATCGTATTATGTTTAAAATATATAAAACATTATGTTGTCGACGTTGACCAGGCACTCTGAAATTATCCAATTCCTTTGTTATTCTTTCTCTGTAAACTGTACTGCTTAATTATCCGCCTCTGCAAAAACAATTCCTGTGACTTTTATTTGAACAAAAAAAAAACAACAAAACAATAGGGGCGGTTCGGAAGACGTTTAATATTGTAGAAGCTGCAAAATCAGAAAAAGTTATCTCAGGACCTATGTTCTAGTTCTTCGACGTTCAAATGTTCTGTTTCAATTTCAGCTGACTGTGAAAGGACGGTTGAAGCTCAGATCAACCGGAAACTTGTCACGTGCAAATGTCTTGCACCGTGCGTGTAAGTTTTTTTGTTTTCGTTTTTTATGTCCAAACAGTTGCAGTTGACAAGTTTCTTTATGGATAGGGTCATTTCCCTGGCGGGCTTTTTCCGCGGACAAGTTTCTACTAAACCGTGACGTCACCATTTTCCGATTACAAAAACATTCATTATAATCAGGAACATGTCCGCGGACATGAAGAACATCTTTTACGGAATGATGAAACTTGTTTATTACGTGGGAAGATTCATACAATACATGTCTTGCACATGCCGTTATCGCACCTTGGTGCGGGTCATTCTTACTCGTTCTTTCTGGAAAAACGAAAAAAACCCAATCGGTTGTGTTTAATGTTTGCTGTTGAAGATACGCAGTTCCAAGTCCGACAAAATGGCAGCAGTTGTGAAGTCAATTCAAGCCGTGAATTGACTTTGCACCCTTCGTGCGCCATGTCTGTCGAGTGTGCAAGAGTTTACTTTACTGAGGTATGAAGTCTGAATTATAAAACGTAAGGGTGAAAGGGCGTTTCCCTATTAAATTTGACTCATCAGATTTGAAGATGTTTCTTGAGGTCGAGGGACGCCATGTTTTGACATTGAATTCGTCGAGAATGTGCGTAACAAAACCCTTCACTTCTTTTATATTTATTTGATGCAGGATTCATTACTATCACACCACTCCGAACAGTCTTGCTTGGACAAGTTATCTGGTAAGTACAATATGAAAAATAGTTTTTATGGTAAATTGTTGTCCTTAGCAAAAATGTGCAGTGTTTCGTTCAGTAATATGAGCAATTAAATTTAGTAATATATAAGTATTCGGCATGCGAGAACTTCCAAAAGCCACCAAGCAGGAAACAACAATTTGCAGAGATTGATTGCATATCCAACGATGAGTAAGGCAGCCACTTATACTCTCAGACGTGTTTATATGACGGTACCACGATCTGCGCAACATGAAAATACCACCCCTTTGAATTTCTTTAATTAATTCAGAGAATGTGAGGGTCGAGACTCTATATTGACCATGCCTATGCGGCCTTGAGGGGAAATCTGGTGCATGAGGTTATGCGTTTTGCCACCCATAGAGTATTACCGTTGGGGCGTGATATTGCTTGCCATTGCCATAGCCAAACTTAGTACGCCGAGTTCATCGCTATGCGATATTCGCACTAAAATATGGGAGGTTCTGTGGTCATTGACAAAAAAAAAAAATCGAACCTCGGGTCCGATTGTGGTCAAGGGGAGAGCGAAACGGTTTTCGGCCCCTGATTAGACGTGGCGCCATAGCATGCACGTTATTGACCAATGAGACATCTTTGGCCCGTTGGCAATATTAAAATCGGGCAAAATTTGATGAGATTCTGCCTGCGTCTGATCTCACCATGGAGGTAGGAAGCTTTTGAAGGCGACGTGACGCACCAAAAATGAAGCCGGGAGATACTTTCAGTTTGGAGGGACACGCCTGCAACGATGACCATGGGCAAAATACACTATCGTCTGAAAGAGTGTTGGCGATAACGCGTTGCAAGTAACAGCGTCACCGCTGATGCGCTAGTTTTTTCGGTAAAGTAATAACGTACACGTTACTTTTTGACAAAAGGAAGGGGTAATGTACTTACATTACTTATTCCAAGTAATCCGTAACGCAGTTACGTTACTCGTAACTTCTTCACAAGATTAACAAAATTGCAATTTAATTTTTTTAGTGTTTTTAGGCGCCAAGCCATGTCTTTTTTTTTTGCGATTTTCTTTTTTTTTTTGGCATATTGGACTGACATGGCAAAAAATATAAATTGATTATGTTCAGAATCTGTGTGAACAATATTTCTTCAAACATGGCGATTATCTATACATATACCGTCAAAACAGTGAAACGTGTTGATTAATGATTATAGTGCGTTACTTTTTGTCAATAACGGTAGCGGTAACGCGTTTCTTTAAATTTTAAGTAACGTAGGTCGGTAATGGGTTTCTTTTATTTGCAAGTAACGATCGGGACGTATTTCTTTACTTCCTTTCGGTGGTGCCTATAACACTGGACAGAAAAAACAGGTCATTTGGCGCCAACTTCGGTTGTGGTCAAACTTGGGGGCGTTCTCGCCGACCGCGCCCTCTACATCCGGCTGCACTTGGGATTTTCACGTTTGGCTGGCATGAGCCGGTGTCTCGCCTCCTCTTCAAACCTCTATGGATCTCACTAACCCGCGGCGGTTGGTTCGTAGTACGCGGCCATCTTTTTTTCTTTTCGGTCTGTCAGCAGACTACGTGCGGTGTTTGTTTCCTTTCCATCTGCGAACGGCGTTTAGTTCAAGAAGAACCGCGTTCTTATCTCGCGTAAAAGGATGAACAATCTACGAACGTTATTTTCGCTCACTCGGCAAGAGACAAATGAGATCTCACTCTCGCGGTGACCAAAAACGGACCGCATGAGGCGCTTTGTCCAGTTTGTTTTCCACAAACCTCGGAGTTAATTTAGCACGTGGCCCGCGGACTGCATTCTTTACGTAAACTACCTCGATCGAACCTAGGGCAGATATTGGACGAGAAATGCGTCAGCGTTGGGTGGGGACCCGTATTCATTTTGGGATTCACTGATTGAACACTAGCTACAACCGTATGCTCACTAGCCGTTCGGCTGCTTCAACCGAACGCGGCGTTAGATCCACGAACAAATTCAGTGAGTTTCTGAGAAACGAAAACGGTGTTTTTTTGTTGTTTTTTTCCCGGGCAAATAAACTACGCTTCGCAGAAAGCTCAAACTACGCGAGAATGTGACTCTAGCGGTTGGGAAAGAACGCAAAAGTTTGAGAACATGACATTACCTTGATAAAAAGACTATTAAGAAAAAATGAAATTTCTCTATGAGGTCACGCCAGCTAAGCCTAATATCGTTAAAACAAAAATTTACACTATGGAAGCGCGTAGCACCTATTTCAGTGAAAAACAAATAGTTCTCATCAAGAAAGAAAATATTGTTTTCTTTCTTGCTGGCAATATTTTGTTTCGCAGAAATAGATACTACAGGCGCCCGCAGTGTCATTTCTTGTTTTGACGATATTAGTTGGGCTTGGTTGGACGTCGGATCATTCTCACAATGTTTGAGTTTTTTGCGATGATTTGTTTACTTACCCGGGCCGAGAAAACACGGTTCTTGTTTATCGGGAACTCCCTGTATTTCATGCTGTTATTGTCCCTATGAGTTTAGCTTTTAAATTAGTCGCTGAAGGCGCGTTCGCCTGATATCCTATTCAATACTAAATCCCGCCTTTTTCAGAAAAAACTGAGGTCTAATGAACCCTTTGCTGGAAAGCAGTTGCGTTTATTGTTTTATTCGACCTTCGATGTATAGTTACAAACACGTTCCGAGAGAACATTGATGAAGATGAATCTTCAAAATAATTAAGATATTCTCCAGAACAACGACACCAGGAGGAGCATAAGAGGGACGCTATCTCGCCGAGCGGACTAAGAATGACGCAATACAGAACGTTTTTTACGGCGTATTTATGTTAGGAGTACACTAAAGGGGTGTCGTTTTTTACAGTTTCGATGAACTTGCGCAAAAAAAAAGTGTAAAATATTTTTTCTTAGTATAAAAATAATTTAGTCACATACTCCTTACTCGTTGCCTCATCATAAAAAGAGACGTTTCGCACATTCTTCGTGCGCTCCTCGAAGTAGTTCTTACAATATTTAGTTTTCGAAGGAAGAAACGATGTTCTTAGGCTTTTGAAATACGTGTACGTCTTGATCGAAAACATAAAGCTAATCCAAGACGCACCTATATATATATATATATATATATATATATATATATCTTAATTCAATACATGAATGTGGAAACCAGTAACGTTCCAGGAGGAGTCGGACCCCTTTTTGCTAGATTTTTAAATAAAGACGAGTATATTTACATTCTCCCATAATTAGAGCTACAAATTAAAGAGAGTAATTATGACTTGGCACACGCTTTTGGATGCTCTCCCCCAAAATAATTTTGCAGATACACTTAAGACTGCTTACGTGTAGGAATGCGAAAGCATTCCTACATGAAGCGCATTTTTAAAAGCAGCACGCGACGTCTTCCTTTTTCACACGGCGCTCCGGCGGTGACGTCACGCTCCCCCACTGCGCAGGCGCGGCGCACCCGCCGGCTCCACGGCTTCCGTGACGATGCATTTGCGTTGCTTTTCTTTTCTTTGTGTTTCATTTCTGAGGCACGTCCGCTTTGACCTTCGTCACAGCTTCCGTGACGACGCATCTGATTAGACGCGTCGCAGCCAATTGGAATTTAGGAGCCGCTTTCGCTGGACAGACAACGCCGGCTTCGCTCCATGTGGCAGTTAATGCGTTTGCATTAAAAGGTTGCCGCCTCGTTTCTCAGCCAATCCCGAGTTGAGCAAGACCTTCAGTCGCCGCAAATCTTCCTCCCTGACCCGTCATCATCAAGGACATCTGTCACTTCCTGGCGATGATTCATGCGGTTTTCTCTATACACATTGCACGCATACGGTGAGTGACGGTCTTGCTGACGCATGGGTGAATATCGAAAACCTTGGCAGCAATCCTCTTGGGGGAGGCCATTAAAAAGGCCTGTGCCACATCATGATAACTTCCCTAATTTGTGCGCTAGTTGGATGAATGATCAGCTAGATTATCTATGTACATCATATGCATAACAAAATATTTCTCATTTACGTTTTCTTGCGCGTTTAGTCGAAACATGAAGAAATAGAATATTCCTGGTAGTAACGGTACTTTTAACTGCAAGACACCTTGATGATCTCGCCCCCTACCCAATACTGGATTCTGGGGTATGATTAGAACTGCAACTATTACACTTTAAAGTCTTTTGCCACGTTTGCTTTGTTCTAGGTGAAGCCGGAATATAGGCTACAGGAAGGATCGACCGATCGCAGAAGGTAAGTTTATCCTTAACTTCAAGGTTGTTAAAATATGCGTGCTTTTTGAAAATATAGTTATAATTGAACTGCTCCACTTCGTAGAATAATAGCACTATGGAGGTGTGTCTTCTTATTAAATAAAGTTAAGTAATTTAATGTTTTTGTTATAACTCTCAATTTGCTACTCAACGGAATATATATGTTTTGTATGGCACTCCGCAATCACACTTGTGCTGCACATCTGATGCAAAGAAATAACAGTAACAACAGGCCAATGTTGAAGCAAAAGTTGTGCACATTTTCAAGTCGCAAAGTCCAAACGTTTCTCCGTGGCAGTGGCGCCTTTACCTTTTGGTCAGACCACTATTCCATTAATTAAATGTTGCCGGATGTGTTTTCACTGCTACCACTCTTGTTGTTAGGCCCAAAAAGGAGATACAAAAACAAGTTTAAAAAGACGCCTTAATCGCAGAAAAATTATACAAGCATCAAACATCTGTCCCAAAATAAATTATAGTTTTCTTCGTCGTAAAAATATTCTACGCATCGCGAAACGCTCTTCCTTCGCCCAAATGTAGCGCTATCAATCAAAACCAGATGCGAAGTTTCAGAGCAAATCGGTATATCATTCAAAATCTATAACGGATTTCTAAAAATCTTCAATAGGAAAATTGCGTCCGTTTCTACCCGTTTTTAGTAACTGGCGTCATTCAGCACCATTTATGCGAGAGCTCCTATCACGTAACTTTTGTAAAAGATAGCGGTCAGTTCTGAAACTTGGGCGTCTTTTTCGGCCCACAAGCGCTACATTTGGGCGCTAACTGAGCGTTCAGCGATGCGTAGTTTATTTTCGCAATAAAAAAACAAACAATGTTTTTCTATTTATTGTTTTTTTTTTTTGGGGGGGGGGGGCTTATAAGCTTTTGAAAAGAGTGAGTTAAATCCTAGAAAATGAAAGAAGTTGAAGTTGATATTCGTTGTCAAGTTACAGTAGTAAAAAAAACAAAAAACACATAGACTTCGTTTTTTTTATCAATTGAGTGACCCTCTAGCATGCATGGGCTTTGTTTTTATTCAACAATTTAGTCATTTCTAGTTTATTACTTTTCTGTTTCGTATCCCCAGTCTCGGGTTTACAACTTTGCTCAATTTACACCAGCTAGCCTGCGCCCTCACCACTGCTTCAAATACTCCTACTTCTCCTTCATTTTTTTTTTTCGGGCAGAATTCATGCCAGGATTATTATTTTTATGAGAAGAACCACGGTCCTGCACAGACTCAAGAAGCCCAAAAGTACGGTAAGCGTAACTTTATATTTCAAGAATAATGAAAAAAAAAAATATATATATATATATATATACACTCTTTTATATACATTCTTTTTTTTTTTTTTTAAGCTTCGTTTACACTTGCGGATTCGCAGGCGCATCCGCGCTTGTGGCGAGCGGATTCTGGAGCCGGGAGGAGAGATCGACCCATCGCTGGTGGAAAATCTGGATATGGGTCACAAGGTGACCCAGATTTTCCGCCAGCGAGGAGCGGATTCCACCACCCTGCTCTAAATTCCTCTCGTCGCCGGCGTGGATGAGCCCTCGAATTCGCAACTGTAAGCGCACCGTTAGGCAGTGTATGTTCGGTCTGCATTTGAGGAGTGCGACGCTGGGTTACGTTTTAGATGAGCGATGCAGTCAGTGCAGAAGAACTGGTAACCTGGGGAATTGAAAGGGGCGGTGCAACAATCTCTCTACTTTTACTATATACTGCTTAGGATTTCTCATGCACCTTCATAACCTAATAAAACACGCGTTAGGATTTTTCTCTACGGAACGTGAGTTGCTGTCCTAAAAATCGAGGAAAGCGAGAAGCATTCTCCCCTTCACATAGCAGCCAGACCAATTGGCCACGCGTTCTGATTCCAGTTCTATGCCACCCATGACTACTTTTGCATGAATGGGATCGCAGCGTACCGAATCGAGCAGGGACCAATCGCACGCAGCCTGTGTTTATATTTCTTCCGCTTCTACCCAACTGCTACCAATCAAAACAGTCAAGTCTCGATTCGATGCGCTATTGTCGCATCCACGCAAATGCCGCTAATGTGTATCATAGCCAAGAGCTCTGGCGGGAAAAGCACATGGCACGCGCTGACCTCCCCACGATGCAGAGTTTTAAAATAGGGGGCCCCAACGATAGGGGCCCCTAAGGAATAGGGGGAACTATCGCAGCGCCACACGCGCTGCCGGATTGTAGAATGGGGTTTTAATACGTGAATGTACGGAGTACAGTGCCAGCTGAAGTGACTACAGCAGGCACTGCACTCCGTTCGCCTTTAAAGAGGCCCTGTAAAGCGTTTCTGGCCATTTTCTTATATTTGCATAGCGTTCACTTGAACTTGTGTGTGGGACTCTAGCAACACATTAAAAATAAAATAAGAAGATAAGAATTTTCAGCGCAGTTTTTTATTGTTCATGACGCCATCCGTCTGATTCAATAGAAAACCGAAACGAAAAGAGCGTGCAACAACCATGCGCGATCTTCCTAACAGTTGGAATAAACATCCAGTTATAAAGATGTGAACGCCCCACAGATTTACGGCTGTTCCAAGCAAAGGTTGATTGAGAATCACGTGTTTAAAAGGATAAAAATGGGATAAAAACGGGTCATTCAGCCAGTTTTACCTCCAGAATTATAAGTTGCCATTATCCGGCGCTCAAGATCAATGTTGTCACTGAACACTCGTGTTTGACCCTGATAGGCACGCCCTTCGAAACAGCATTTGGTTGTCTACATCCTTTTGCAGTTCCCCTACGGGGCTGTGTTTACACATGATCTATGGAACACGTGTTTGTGCCCGAAATATGGCAAAGTTCAAGCGTTCACTTATGAGGAGAAGTGCAGTAAGTAAAGTAATTACACTTTTACAAGGTTTAGAAAGGTAAATACTATTCGGCGCAACCTGAATAACAAAAATTATTCATGTCATTTTCCGGTAAAGAGACAAAATAAACACGAGTTTTTCCACAGGAATGCACAGGAGCACCGCAAAAGTAGACTTGTTGCTGTCTGCTTCAATTTGAATCCCGGAAGTCGCCCAGACACTAGAACCAGTTTAACCTGTAACGTAGATTAGTATTACATTACGGAGGTTTGATCCTGTCTAAGACCCTGTATTGCAGAGTTTCCAACTGCACGATCGGGGTCCCATGGGGGCCCCATATTCTAAAACTCCTTATTCTTATGGTTCCGTCAGTGTCACCATCGGACTCCAGCAACCGTCTGAGTGCTCCTCGAAGCACGGATTATCACGAGTCTAAATCGAATGCTCGCGCAGTGCTATTGTCCGCTTTATGAGCTGTATTTTTATATTGTCACCACAAATTTCCTACGTTAATAATTCAAGTTAAAACTGCGCCATCACATTTTGAGAAAGAGCGAATGGAAAAGGAACTGTTTCAGTCTGACTTAGCTGTCTTCGCAGAGAGCGTTCGCCCTTTGCCAAGTTACAGAGAAACTAATTCTAGAAATCGTTCCTATTCCACTCACCTGCACGCAGGTCACCAGTCTGTTCCGAAGCATCGGTGGCCTGATGGGCTTCTACCTCGGCTACTCGTCATTCCACATCTTCCAGGTGCTCGAAGTACTTTTTGACGGCGCCTGGTCCAGCATCTCCAGGATCCTGGCGCGAAGGCGCCGAGCCCGCGAAGCACGACAAGAATCTATTATCACACTCTTGCCGATTAAAACGCATTGATCCTTTAAAAGTAAAATTCGAGATATATGCTTGTTCAAGATGTATGCTTGTGTGTTATCTTTCTTTTAGTGGGACAAGAGTCCTTAAAAATTGGGAACTTGCGTTATGTTTTTTTTCTAGCCCGGGGGTAGGTTTGTGACTCCGGGGCCACTAGAAAAAGGCGAAAATGGTCAATTAGACTTCGATTTACATTATTCGCAACTCCAACGCCCTATAGATGGTTGGACGGTATTCGCAAGATGGCGAAAAAGACTGGGATAGATTCTTCAGGCTTCCCCGTGCACCGGTCGTGGACGCTGGTCAGTGCGCTAAAATTACTTTATTTGGCTACAACAGGAAGTGGCGAGGGCAGGAGCATATCACAGGTTACGGTGATTTTAACGTGTTAACGTGCGTTGAGAAAATGAACATGTTGATTTTTAAAAGAGTACGGAAAAGAAATGACGTGGCCGCCGCGAGCTCTCTGCCTCTCGCTCGAAAACGAGAGCGAGAGAGCGAGAGGTAGAGACGAGAGGTAGAGACGTCAAGGGCCTCTGCACGGCCAAGGGTATTGTAGTTGCGAGAATTGCCACTTGTTGGTGTCAACGCGTGACAATTTTGCCCAGTAGTATTTTCCCTATGGTTTATGCATACTTGAAGAGCACAATCCAACGTTAAAGTCCATGGTTACGCTCGCAAAAGCTATGGAATCCGCAAAGCGTGACGTAACCAAGCTAGGCGAAGCCGCGGCAGTTTCATCAGCGAGTTTCAACGCTGCTCAGGTTCTTCAGAAGAAGCACATGAGCTGCTATCATTTTGGCGACTGTCACTTTGAAACGAAGTGCACGCACATCTGGGACATCCTTAACCATTGCAGGAAAAAATAACACATTGCCAAGGTCTGCAGAACGAAAACTGCAAGCTCTAGTCAACGTTCGTCTGCACCAAAGCAGAAGGGACACCAAAAGAGTGGCTCAAGCAAGTCAGCTCTAGTACACGTCGTTGAACATCCAGAGCGCGAAGAGGTTTTGTCAAACGACGGGAAAACCTACAACATGTGGACGTTGGACTCTGCTAAAAAGCTCAATCCATTCTTGGTTAAGCTGGAGCTTCAAGGTAAGCCAATAAACATGGAGCTCGATACCTGTGCAAGTGTCTCTATGATAGGAAAGAGTACACTCCACCAGGAATTTCCTAACCTTCCCTGCGAGGCTTCAAAGGTCCGTCTGAAAAGTTACACCGGAGACTTGAAACCTGTGGTCGGGAAAGTCATTGTGACTGCGAAATTCAAGGACCACCACTTCGAGCTCCCACTATTGGTCGCTGAAGGCTATGCTCCTACGCTGCTGGGACGGGATTGAATGGAAGCGTTGAACATGACTGTATTCAACGTTTCAGATGTCTACTTCGTCAACGATGTCCAACAGCTCAAAGATAAGCACACACCACTCTCTTTTCTGACGAACCAGGAACATTCCAAGTAGTCTCGGGGAAACCGCCAATTCGTGAAGGCTCCAAACCACGGTTCTTCAAGGCACTAAGTGTCCCGTTTTCCTTGCTCGACAAAGTGTTGGAAGAACTCCAGAGATTAGAGCGAGAGGCCACCCAAATTGCCTCGTGAAGTCTTCCGACTGGGCAGCACCGATCGTCCCAGTCATAAAGAAAGACGGTCGCATTCGCATATGCGGAAATTACAAAGTGACTGTAAATCCTATTGCAGTCTTGGACCAGTATCCAATTCTAAGAGTCAAGGAGTTATGGGCGAAGCTTTCAGGTGGCATCCAATTAAACAAACTTGACTTGAAGAACGCCGGCCAGAAATTGGTCATCGATCCAGCTTCACGAAAATACACCACAATAAACACTCCGAAAGGGCTTTTTGTGTACAAGAGGATAACATTTGGGATCTCTTCGACCCCCTCAATCTTTCAGAGGGAGATGAAAACCCTGCTCCAAGGTCTCAACCATGTCGTCGTATATTTCGATGACATTTTGGTGACGGGAACGGATGACAAGGACCATCACAACAACCTCACTAAGGTATTCAAGCGAATGTCAGACAGAGGAATCATGCTAAAATTCACCAAGAGTAAATTCACGATGGACGCTGTCGAATAGCTGGGACACATATCATCGACGCAGAAGGGCTGCACCCTGCTCCAGGCAAGGTCGAAGCAGTCCTCAAGGCTCCTGCACCAAGCAACGTCAAGGAACTGCTGTTTCCCTGGCTTGGTTAACGACTGAAGGAAGTTTATCCCGAGCCTATCTGCTGTTCTACATCCCTTGCATCACCTACTGGCAAGTGGAACACCATGGTGCTGAATGATGAACAAGAAACTTCGTTCACTTAAACAAAAAACAAACAAAACTTCTGACTTCGACCAGCGTGTTGGTCTAATACAACCCAAAGGAGGACCTTACACGTGACGCGTCCCTCCTTGGTCTTAGAGCTGTTCTGGCCCACCGCAATGCCCAAGGCGTGGAACGTCCTATCGGGTTCGCATCCAGGAGCCTACAGCTGCCCGAAAAAAATTACTGCCAACTGGACAGAGAGGCTTTGGCCTTAATCTTCGGCGTAACTAAACTTCGTCAATACTTCTGGGGAAGGCATTTTGAAGCAGTTGCAGACCATAAGCCGCTGCTTGGAATTCTTGGCCCAAATTAGGCCATCCCAGATCGAAGCTTTCCAAGCGTGGTACGCTGGGCCCCCATGTTATCTGCGTTCGATTACGCCTTAGTGTACCGCCCCGGTAAGACAATTTGACATGCAGATGGACTGAGCAAATTGCCATTAAAAAGCAAGCACATCACCATGGAGCCGCCAGCTGACATCTTCACGTTGGAAGGGTGCTACCCTCGTGTGCTATCATTAGCCGTAGTAGCTCAGGCTTCATAGGACGGTACTCTCTTGTCGAAGCTTTGTGACAACTTGTTGGAAGGTAGTAACCTCCCTCGGGAAACCGAATGGATGCCTTTCAAATTTCGAGTGCTCTTGTGCAGTCTACAAAAAAGACTCCGTGCTCTGGGGAACCAGAGTCTTGATCCTCGCGTCTCTTCGACCGGAAGTACTGAAGCTCATTCACGAAAGTCGCCCAGGCATTGAGAATATGAAAACTATCGCCCGAAGTGTCGTATGGTGGCTTAACATCGATGAAGACATCTGAAACAAGGTTAAGTCTTGTGCGACTTGTCAGGAACATCAGCACTTACGTCGACAAGTGCAGTCAACACCTTGGCCCTTTCCGGAGAAACCGTGGTCAAGACTGCACATTGATTTCGGTGGACCTTTACAAGCTCATTATATTTCGGTTGTCGTGGACGCTTTCTCCGAGTGGGTTGAAGTCATGCCTGTGTCTTCTCCGTCTTCAGGAGCAAATATAAACTGCTTAAGGATCATTCTGCGACTGAAGGAATACCAGACATTATTGTATCTCACAACGGAACAGCTTTCACGGGTGCGAAATTAATGGAGTTTCTCAGAAGAATTCAAATCCGGGGCATCAAGGTAGTACCGTACAATCCCGCATCAGACTGTGCTGCTGAACGCGTAGTTCAGTTAGTAAAACTAATTTGAAGAAGGCAGACCCAGGCGACTTTCAGACCAAGATCGCCAGGTTACTTTTTCCGTACCGGACAACACCTCATGCCCTGACAGGTCGACCTCCTGCAGAACTACTCATGGGAAAGATGCTGAGAACCCCTCTCAAAGCGCTGCATCCGAACCTTCGAAAAAATGTTGTTGTAAGGGCGACTACGCGCCCTAGTGAAAAAATACGCCAAACCGAGTGCTGGTGTGACTTGATATGACATCAGACTTTTCGCAGATGTGATTTGGGACGTTTTCACACCAGCAATCTGGTGTTCTGCTGTGACATCAGCAATCTGGTGTTCTGGTGTGACATCAGGTTTGTTGACCAGAGCACCTGTTGACTGGGTGTGGCTTTACTCACAAAAAAGGGTGCAATGGTAAGTTTGACAATAACGCTGGTGTCATAATTACTTTATAAAAAAAACAAAGCAAAATTCGGAAGCTTTACTGTTGTACGGAGTTGGCCGTGATCAACTGGAGCTTGCCCGGAGCCACTACCCGGCGTCGAAGAATCGGACGCCCTGTCGTTCCGCAATTCTTGAGTTTTCGGCTTGCGGTTGACTCGTGTCTTAGTTACGCTGATCCGTACCGCGTACCCCTCCGCGCCAGTTATCTCCTCTTCTAAGGCATCATATTCGACACATGGCTCGATTTCCTTGTCCACCTCCTTCAGGGAAGCTTCCTTAAGTAGAAGAATATCAAATCCTTCTTCGAGTTCGCCGATGTTGGTTGAATCCGTGGCCAGCAGGACGCCAATCTTGTTGATGATCTTTGTGTGGTGGCTCGCAGGGTAGTCCCCTTTCGCTTCAGGCGGTCGACGCTCTCCTGGCTCGTAGTAGGCATGATCTGGCCGTTAATTCCCTGGTTTCGGCAGCAAACATTGAATAATTACTAGCTTTCTTTGTTGTTCTGCTACCAGACCAGTCCTATCTTTAGCTCGTCGGAAGTCAGGAAAGCGCATCAACGCACTTCTTTTCAGCGTCGACTCACACAGAAGACTCCTTTATTTTCTCAAACTTTAACAAGAATACTGGCGGAAAGGGAAAGACAAACCCCAGAAGAGGTGAGCGCCCACAGCTGCTCAAGGTCGCCCGGGAAAGTTCTGGCGACGAGGGGGACACTTCTTCAGCACAAAAGAGCCCGCCGCGAGGTCTCCGGCGACCAACAAGACGGGAGGAAACGAGGCACGACGTCGGGGGAAGGGGCGTCACACAAACTAATCATAAACACGCTCGTGGACGGGGGAAAAGTCAACAAAATACAACACTGGTGTCACATCAAACCGCGTGGTGTGCACAACAGGCTGCCTGGTGGGCACATAAGCCCGAGTGGTGTGACACCAGACTTTCTTGGTGTGCCCACCAGGCTGGTGTGCGGTTACACTTGAACTTTTGGTGAGCACACCAGGTTGGTGTGCTTAATAAACCTGCAT